AATAATAATAATAATAATAATAATATAGGTTATGATATTTATGCAAACAATATCAGTTCTTTAAAAATGGCATTTGGAGTAAAACTCTTGGTGACTTTAAAGCTCATTCAAATGCTCACGAAGATATTCAGAACCAGACTATATAGAGCTTGGAAGGGTGCCAATACATAGCTTAGAACAGGTATGCTGTTCATATTAACCTATTGGAGAAATCTTTCATATCAGTTTACCTATCCTGACTATTTTCAAAGACAGTCCTAGATAAATTACATTGGATATTGATCTTCTAATAATGGTTGTCACCTGTAAATGAACTTATTGTGAAGGTTTCTACAGTGGGTTACTCCTCCAATTTGCTCAAGCAGCAAGGTCAGATTTCTTTATCCCATTGCCAATTACAGAGAGTAAGTGATTAATCTGAATTGTTTTACACTTGAAACACCCCCTTTTGAATTCAAAACGGCTGCTTCAGGTTTAAAACAGATTGTTCTGACCTTACAGAAGTTCTAGTGCTGTTGTGACCATCCAGGAAGTATACCAGTATCAAAAAGCACCCTGTTTCAAGTTGAAACACCTTGGGGATAGTTGGAACAGCACTGGAGCACTTCTGGTGAGCTTGGAGTAATCTGTTTTGAGCACAAAATGGGTCATTTTGAGATCACAATATTTTGTACACCGCTAACAATGAATACGACCACCAATAATAAAAACAGAAATAGGAGAATGAGAAAGCAAAAAAAAAAAAAGGACTTCCACCAAACAGTACACTTAAGGGAGGAAAGGAAGAAAGGAAGACTTGTCACCATTGTAAAACAGGCACCTTTACACTAAATCTAATATTCTCTTTTCCTACAGTGGAAGAGAACATCCTACCATGTAGAGCTAGAAGCTAGCAGTAATAGACTGCCTACTGAAAGATTTGCCTGCCAAAGAAAGATTCAGCAAAAGTTAAAATATTCAGTTTGTAATGCTTTTATTGCTTCACAAAAGAAAAAACAGACAATCGAGTGGCCACCCTGAAAATATCCCCAAGGGGAGTCTTACTGGCTAAAGTAATAAAAGTTGCTGCTCTCCTTGTGCAATAGACTGTGACTCCTTGCAAAACACCAAGAGACTGAGACCCATAAACCAAAGAGATGCAGACCTTGATGCATCAGGGAACAGCTGCCATTAAGCACTTTTTAATTCCAGTGTTTCATTCAACAAAGAATTTTCGGGGGGGGGGGGAAGGATTCTTGTTCACTACAGTTCAGTTGGAGGACCCAAATCTGTGGGACATGTGCTCCGGGAGGAGACAACGCTTACTCCTGTTCCCCATGTCTATTCACATATTTGCACTGTGGTGGCACTGTCAGGGATTATATGAGTCCTCACCAATGAAGCTCCATGCATATATTGGAGCTATAATCAGTTTGGGTTGGGTGATTAAATATCCCTTGATATTTGGGGCTCGAGGAGGATAGGAGGATCCTTGTGACCAGACATGAGAATGGCCTACAAGTTCTTCTCTATCAGGTCTGAGCTGTCAGGATTACCTCTGCTCTCTTCAGGTGGATAATACGTATAACTCTTAAGTCAGAGAAAAGAATGTCAGTCACCTGGCAGTTGGAGTAACTATGTCCTTTGCATCTTCTAACCGGAACCACCTCACCCTGAAGTTACCAAGAAATGCCATGAAGATCCACTGCCAAAGCAAAAGAGTATGGCCAAATATTCTGAAATTCAGACTCACTCTCCTGAGTCCAGATCTCCCCATCCAACCAAGACTAAACTAAACATGCTTTGATGAGAAACAGGTCTGGTGAATTTTGATCAAGACTAACCATCTGGTTGTTTGCCTTGTGAAGGATCTTATATGTGCACATGTCTGACCATGTAGTCTGTCAACAGGAGACTGTTGCAATATGCCAGAGATGGAAAAGCTGCATTTGATTTCCCCTTGTTGACTGTTGGAGAGAGCCACCAGCATTGCACACCTTTGGGGACAGGAAGTAAATGAGATCACTCATGGAACCATGTGTATAAGGCTGTTGAGTTTTAGGGTCATGACACCCAAACATCTCAAGCACATGACTCATCAGTGACTAGCTGACTAGCTCTTGGATAGCCTGTTTCCTGTACTGGAAGAGAGAAACCTTTTCCTGTGCCAAATGTTGCAAAGATGAGAGATGGCTCTTTTCCATATTCACTGGAAAACTAAAATGCTTCAGACACTAGAATGTTCGCCTCATGTTCCTCTGCCTCCAGATCACACAGATATGGAACTCCACATTTCAGAGATGTGCCACTAAAACCATGGTCACTTTGTATGAGAACGGGTTCTAAGGGTTAATTTAATAGCAGGTGCAATCCAGCTCTTTCATAAGAGACAAGCCTCCGCTACCTGAAAAGCACATAAGAACAGCCAGAGCCTTCTCACCTTCATTTGCTATACAGATAATCCCCAGTTTAAGTTCCATCCCCAAGGTCTGTCCTTAAGTCGACTTTGTATGTAAGCCGGAACAGTATTATTGTATAATACCGTATAAGTAGTATTGTGTAATGAACTCGAACCATTGTGTATTTAACTCAAATCACTGTGTATTTAACTCAATTTTTGCTATAATAGGCTCCGTTTTTAATTATGGGTCAATTGTAACCCAGGCATTCTTAACCCAGGGATTACCTGTACAGAGGTTTCTCATTTGAAAGCAGAATACTTGCCAGAATTGTTGCTACTATAAGCTTCTTCTTAATAAAACTTATTAATCAAAGCTCTGAGAGACTCATGCTTGGGATTAACTGCTCCAGGCTGCTACCAGAAGTCTGATAGCTTGGTGAATACTCTGAGTGCCAGAGAAAACTAAATAGAAGAACTGTTTATTGGCATGGCCTCCCTGGTATTCAATACGTAGATATTTTCTGTAAGATGGTGGATGGGTATGTGAAGGTTAGTCTCCCAAAAACCCAGGAATAGCATTACATCTCTCCAATGGCATTTCCATCCTGAATTTGTGGTATTTTATACAGTGATTCACTCTTTTTAAGTCTTGTATTGCCCTCCCATCCCCATTCTTATCAGGGATAATGAAGAGTATGGAATAGCAGCTGGAGTACATTTCTGCAGATGGCTCTAGCTATACTGCTCTGATTTATAGCAGGTGTTTTTATCTCGAGGCACTAGAGTATCTTCTTGAGCAGTGAAACCTAGGAAAGGAAACAAAAGGATTAGGAGGTCATATACAAGTAGTCCACAGCTGGGACCGGCAACTCTGTCACTTAGCGAGACATCATGTGACCGCAACTTGCAATTTCACTGCTGGCTTCTCCATTGACTATGCTTGTTGGAAGCTGGCTATGAAGTGTGCAAATGGCGATCACGTGACCATGGGATGCTGTGACGGTTGTAAATGCCCGCCGGTTGCAAAGCACCCAAATCTCGATCATGTGACTGTGGGGATGCTGCGACAGTTGTAAATATGAGGACTGGTTATAAAGTTACTTTTTCAGCACCGTCGTAACTCTGAATGGTCGTTAAACAGGGCAGTCATTAAGTGAGGGCTACCTGTAATAGCTACATATCAGTGGATATGAACACCAAAATGAAGTCAATATGTGCTTCATTGATTATAGAAAGGCCTGTGATTATGTCAGCCATGTCAAGCTGATGTGCTTAGAAAAATTGGAATCCTAGGACACCTCACTATCCTCATGCAAAACCTACACAACTCAGGAAGCCACTGTATAGACAGAACATGACAAAACAGACTGGCTCCAGTTTGGCAAAGTAGTGAGACAAGGCTGTGTACTTTACTTATTCAACTATATGCAGAATATATATTGAGGGAAACTGGACTGGAAGAAGATGAGCGTGGTTTTAAAACTGGAGGAAAAAACATCAGTAACTTGTGCTATGCTGATAGCCAAAAATGATCTGCAAGCTGTAGTAATTAAAGTCAAGGAGCACAGTGAGAAATTTTACACTGTACTCAACCAGAATGACTGTCCTTTCTGCCCTTTAGAGGAGGAAATCACTAGGAGGATTAGAAAGATTAAATAGAAAGACGACCAAACCAATGGCAACAAATACAGCAACTAGCCTTAGAATTGACAATGAAGTGGTGGTAACTTCTGCCTTTTAGAATCGACTACCAATAATAAAGGAACCAGCAGTCAAGAAATACGCTGCAGACTAGCACTTGATAGACTAGCCATGAAGGTCTTGGAAAAGATATTCAGATGTCGGGATGTGTCCGATCTACAAAGATCAGAATGGTGCAGGCAATGGTTTGCCCTGTGACATTCTACCTGTCATCTGGATATCCTGGTGTCATTCTTATTTATTATGGCATATTATTAAAATAAGGTCCCCCTAGGAATCAATCATGGGAGCCTTACGGGAGCCCAGGTCAGCCTGCAAAAGAAGCCATGGTGTTTGTTTTCAAAAGTAATGGCATTCTTATTTAACCCTGGTGGCTTCTGCCCCCCAAATTATTTTAATTAAACTTCCAGGAAATGAGAAAGAGTAGTAGTTTGCTACCATTGGAAAGACCACAGCTGCTTGGAAGCTGGAGAGCTGCCCAAAGTTTTGAAAATCTTCCTGAGAAATCAATCTTTCTAAAATGTCTGGAGCTGGCTAAGTATCTTCAATCTTCTCTGAGAGGGTCTCACCCTCTGCTGGGTCTGAGGGAGGGGAAGGTCACAGCAGCCAGATCTCTCTGGGGAAGAAGGATAGAGGTGACTGGACCTATAGCAGGCCATGTCCTTGTTCTCTGATGTGAAGACTGAAATAGTTGTACCCTGGGCGATCCAGGCTGAAATAGCTGTAACCTAAGCAATCCAGGGAAGAGAAGATCCAGATGAAAATCAGCACTTTTTACACTGTACTCAATGAGGTAACCAGAATGACTGTCCTTTCTGCCCTTTAGAGGGGGAAATCACTAGGAGAGTTAGAAGAACCAAAACAATATGGTAGCCTCTGCTATTTCTATCTGTATAGATGGTGGTCCTCCCCCCTCCCCCCCCAAAACAGCATCATGAAACTAGTTGCTAGAAGTGCTGGACTTTCAGGGACCATTGCAACAGAATGAAAAAATATGAATGCTTATATACACACACCAACTTCCTTTTGTATCATACAATAATCCATTTTTCCTTAATTTACCATATCTTTTAAAAATTAAGTTGAATAAAAGTACGCATTCCCTCTGTATTATGATAAAACATTCAATTCCCTTATATTATAAATTCTCCTTCTTATCCAGAAAATCAGAAACAGCCCTTCGCACGCCAACAGCAAAAACGTTTCCGAAAGTCAAACTGCTGATTCCAGCGTTAACGGAGAAGCACGCATGCTGACTCTGAATAGTGAAAATACACTTGTCTTTAAAACGTCCAGTCCCTTGGGGATATTGACTGCTGACAGGAGAAGCTAACTAGCAGTTCTGTGAGCAGCACAAGGGAATGAGGGGACACAACTCACTTGAGAAGTATCATGATTGAAGATGATGGTGTTGAGGTCTCCACAGTTGTAATGCTTGATAAGGTCCTCTGTTGTGTAAGGAATCTGTAAGCTGCCTGCTCGAAGATTCTCCTGCTGCAAAAGAGTCTGATTCAAAGCAAAGATCACCTAGACGTGGGGAATGGGAAGGAGGAAAAGGGAGAGTTCCCCATCAGTCCTTAAACTCATTCGTTAA